AATCAGATTTTCTCTAATTACGGCACAACTCATTTAAAGATAACACAAAAAGACCACAGATAACCACAGATGTAGCCAGTGATGAAGCCAGGCCTTTATTGATCATGTTTCATTTTAGTGTTTTAGCCTTAGACTTTTCCTTAAGACTAAAAATATTGATGAGTGGTTTAAGGAGGTAGCTTTATAAAGTACGCCATGTTCTCTGTCTTCCTTCACCCTTTATGCATTATTGACAACCAAATGTACTTATAGTAGAGTCACAAAGTCTGGATGTTTTATGGTACACTTTACAGATATTAAAACGGTCAGCAGCCTCACAATCTTTCGGCAAACTCTAAGGTAGACATGCAAAACCACAAAGGTTTGCACATGTTCACTCAAGTTTTTATGTGGAAGATTTTTTTATAACAAACTAAGTATCACTTATTGGTATTGGTACTACAAAGTACCAATTATTACTGGTTATTAACCAACCAAGCAAGGTATTAGCAACCTTTGTAGGTCAGGACAATGACTTTGAAATTGTTCATTACTACCTCTAAATAACAGCTGTACTACTCCAAAATATACTAAGGTAAAAATAATTTGTTTAACAGTTCCAGTTTGCTCCTGTGCTAGGAATCATAACTGTGTCCCCAGTTTTCTCTTGCCAAAGTATACACCATACATAAAGACACTTGGACACCCTTCCTCTGCAAAACAGCAAAGTGGAGCTGCTCATGGCTTTCCAAAGTACTTGTCAAATATCTTCCAACAGTCTAACTTTCTGCTACAGTTACCAAACTCCCATCTGCCACAGAACTTCTTCATTTTTCTTCTTCTTGACTACTATTACATTTGACTCAGATATCATGACTGGTGGTAAGCTACATACACACTGGAAGCAAATCACAGGAATATCATCTCTGAGACTACACAAAGCGTGAAGTGACTACTGCCCATTTCCCATCATTCCCATAACTGTGGATGACAGGAAATGGGCAGGATGCAAAATAAACTTTCCTCAACTGAAGACTAAAATGACTACCAATGAGAGTGAAAAACACTGTGGTGTTAAGCTGCCCAGTTTGGAAATCAACTAAGCCACAGTGCCTATGACAATAATGATGTTAACATCTCACATAATACAGTCGTGTTTAAAGTCTTTTCTGTTTCAAACATTTGTAATTTATATAAACAAATTAAATTTCCACCACTCTGAATTACTGTAAGGATTCAGGATACTTAAGCTTGCCATGTTTTAAGGCAGTGCACTGTTATTACATGCCTCCTCTTGTCATTGTGCTGCTGCCCTCTAGTGCCTCTCTGTGAGAACTGAAATGGTGCAGGTGATGAGTAAAGTGACACTGATGGACAGATGTGTTAGAAAGAAAAACTGCAGAAATAAAGTCTGTAGGATGCTACACTCACATGTTTATAGAATTATTTGTCTAGACAACTAAAATTCACAATCCATAACAACATTTTACTGTAACACAAAATATGTATATGTTTATGGGAACAGGGTTTTAATCACCTACTGTGTCTGAAATGTGGATCAGCATTGCTAAATGACACTGCAGCTAGCTGCTTAGTTCAGATTTTTAATAATGTGAGGTTCTGTTTTTGATATATGAGGTATCTCAAATTGATGGGCCTATTTAAGATGCATTTGTCCCAACACAAATGCACACTCACACACAAAGAGGGTGTGTGAGTGTTTCAGCGTTTCTTTCCCTTAGGACTGGATTTACGTTGCGAAAAAACAAACAAACACTAGCAGACAAAGAGGGTGTGTCAGGCAACAGGTTTGCTGACAAAAGTTAACTTTTGTGCATCTATTTTCAGCTATAAAAAGGGTGAAACAACAAAGGGTGCTTTCATTGAAAGCTATGCTGCTATGAGTTTACCTATATTTCTAAAATGGTTAATATAACTTACACTATTGAAATATGATCCTTCATGACATCTCCTTCCTGTGCTGTCCCTAAGACTGACCTTCCGAACACAGTGCTGGGATTTTGGATTTCACATTTGAGACTAACATAAGTAGCAGTGGGGGAATATTGGGGCTTCTATTATGGTATAATAAAGAGAGCACTGTTCTGATCTCTGCTAAAGATGTGCTTAAAATTTGGGCCTCTTTACTTATTAATATATTGTTGATGGTAAGGATCTTGTAGGGTGTGCTCACAATGTTACTGTTATCAGTTATCATGTCTATCTGTTATTAAACAGCCAGGAGTGTCTCCTGGTAATATTACCACAGCGTTAACACGCCATTAAAGGCCTATTTCTATCCATCAATCACTGCACTCACAACATTGAGCCATACTTGAGCGACCTGCTGGGTACTACTATTACTTGCAAAAACAAAGCCAATATTTATTTTTGTGTGCTGCATCATAATCCTCTTTAAGGGCTGTGATGTATTGGGTCAGTATTTTAGCTGTCAACAAAGGCTAAATTAAGATACAGAGGGGCAAACGGGTCGTTTCCCAGTCAGCACAACGGATCAAAAAGCAGCGCTTTGCTTAAACTGGTCGCATAAAACCACAGTATTATGTTTTTTTGTCATGGCCTTGTCAATCTAGTAAATGCAGGGATGTCAGTCCCGCGACATTATCTCATATTATAGGAATGCCCCCCTCCACCCCTCCCATCTACTCCCCTCTGTTACCATACAACCCACACGCGCAAATACGAGTGATAAGGAAATATAATGTCATCGCACCTTTGATCGTGTACCTATGTATCAGAGCATCGGTTCGGGTGTTTTGTTTCTTACCGGAGAGCGAGAGCATTAGCAGCAGCGCGCTCACCAGCTGAACGCCAGACCTTCTCTCCTGCGCGGAGTAAGACATTTTCTGTCCTTCTTGTTAAGAAAAATGAAGCCTATATCTTTATAAAAAATATAGTAAAATATAAAAGCACAAAGCCTGCTCGTGTTTGCCTTAAAATGCTAAAAAGAGTGTTTCTTTTAGAGGCAGGAAATGGCTGGCAGTGTCTGTAGCCTTATGACGGTTGATTTCGTGGTTGTCGAGTTCTTGGGGGGTAACGCTATAGGAGGGAGGGCAGGAAGGAAAGCGTGAAAAAGGGAGGATATCTCCATACAGATGCGACCTCCACAGGCCATTTGTCAGAAATGGTAAATATAGCCTAAAACAAGGCAGTAAGCTCAAGGATAAATAGATGGACGACGATTCTTCTTCTTCTTACTGGATACATGTACTGACTTTGGTGGGAAAAATATGTAATTTTCACTTTAGAAAAATTAACTCTGGCGTTTTATACTTCAATTTCTTATGCATCAAAATGACAGGGACATTTAAATGATTGTAGGCTCAGTAGGAAAAAATATTACGTATTTTTATGATTATTTATTATCATGAATAACAAAGCTTAAACTGAAATCAGCCTATCATTAGAAAAATAAATGAATACACATAAAATAATAAATAATTTTTTTTTAGTTTGTATTTATTTTATGCGTTTTATTGTGTTTTGCCCTCGCAAAAAAAGAAGCGGTCATGTAGAGAAACAAAAAATAAATGAATTAATAAAAAAAAATCGACCATCCTTCTTTAATCCATTTCTCCATCCTGCTTTACCTTTGTGGTAGGCTGAAGACGATGCTGGGAAATAAAAGAGGCAAACACCCCCTGGTCACATTCACTTTTCACCTGCTATGTCATCTGCTGCTATGGATACAAACTGGAGAGGCCAGCGTCAAGTGTGGCGTATGTTTGATAAAACGAGGGAGATGGACTGGAGGAAGACATGGCTGTGAGGTGGATGCAAATAGAAGCCAGTTTATTCCTCACAGCAGAGATAATATCAACTTTCCGAAGAAATTGATAATGTCAGCATTTAGGAAAAAGAAGAAAATTTGGGGAAACAAAGACTGAGTGGTTTATGGACATTGTTCCATTAGGAGTGGAAAAAGGTTGGAAGGAAGAGAGCAGAGTGGTTGCCACTCTCTGTTTATAATAACAACCCTGCTGACTACAACAGAAAAGCACTTAAAAACATCTTTATCAAAGCAATAGGGAGTTATATATGGAGTATAAGCACAGTCAACTAAAAGTTATGTCCATGGGTAGGGTAGTCTGCTGCTATCCAATCCATTTATGAAACTGTCATACTGCAACCAAACACCACACAGATATGTTATCTTTTTTACCCTGCAGACAGTGCTACTGCCAGATTACTCAATTCATCAGTTACTTCCCCAGTTACTTGTGTGTGTGTGTGTAAATGGTAAATGGTAAATGGCCTGCATTTATATAGCGCCTTACTAGTCCCTAAGGACCCCAAAGC